CCATCCGTTGCTTCTTGTCCTAACTTCAGGCACTTTGAAGAAGAGCTTGACTCCCTCTTCTTTGTGGCAGCCCCTGAGATATTGGAACACTGCTATCATGTCCCCCTTCATCCTTCTCTTCATTCAACTAGACATACCCAATTCCAGCAGCCTTTCCTTATATGCTTTGGCCTCCACACGCTCTTCAAATCTCAGCTCCTAAGATATCTTTGGGGAAGCCATGTTATTAAACTGGTACAAAACATATATGCAGTCTGTTGTGTGAGGCGATATGTGATTGAGTTATTGAATGTAATGTCATTCTGAGGTGCTTTTCAGGATATCCAGTCCCATAAATTGTTTTGGATTACAACGGATCCTTGTGCATAGCACATCCTTCACGTTAACCATATTGTTGATATCAGGACATGAGTTTTTAATGTGCACAATTCTACTAACCTGAACCTGTGTGAACTTTCTTAGAAGTAAGTATCTCAAAAGGCCCCATTTTATTTCTGAATGCAAAAAAGCTTGCACCTTACTTGCTTTGTTTCTAAGCGATCTTCCTACAGAGAGAACCTGGCAACTGAAAATTTTATAGGGGCAATAAAAAAATGTGAAGTCTACTTTCCAAGTGAAAAGAGTCTTTGGTTCCCTGGAATATCATCATTATAGGCCACGCAAAAGAGCTCTGAACGTTACAGAGTCGTGAAGTGGCAAGTTATCAGTGAACAAATGAACTGAGTGCTGTGTTTGGCTTTATTTAGAACACTGAAGCCAGACTCATAGAAGTGAGGAACGAACTGCAGTCTCGTGAAGACCTCTTAAGTATGGTGGAACTGGAATGCCAGCAGTTGCGAAAGGAAGTGGCCAAAATCGAAGAGTATAAAAACAAAGAAGAAAACCAAGTGAAGTATGTATTGTAACAGAACATCTAAACTTCAAAAGCTGGTTACATGGCAGTAGGCCAGCTGGGAAGTAAGTCTCGGTAGCTTTAATGGCGCTTACTTTTAAGTAAGGATGCAGAGCTTTCTACTTGTGATCAAGATACATTTTAAGTGCAGAATACAAATAAAAGCAAATTGCATTTTTTCCCCAGAGTCAGTTAGAATGGTTTATGCAATCCATTTTCCCTTAAACTCTCAGAAGATATACAAATGTCGCAATATGTCACGCCTTCATGTTTGATGTTTTACATCGAAGGTCCCCAACCCCCGGGCCACAGACCGGTACCGGTCCATGAATCAATGGGAACTGGGCTGCAAAAGCGGCGGATAAGCACACAAAGCTTTATTTGCGCCTATGCGAGATTAGATTTCCACCACTATCATCCTGGAAGGAGAGAATTTCTCTATTTTTATAGTGGGTATCCTGTCTTCTGATTTTAGTTACTCTGACCACTGGGAAGGCAGTGTGTAACTGGTTTCATCCTTATTAGGCAGCATCAGAAATACATTGCCGGATTCTATGAAACTATTAGACAATTGCCACCCTAGCTATAAAGATTGTATAGAGACTTATAATATAACGTGTTCTGTACACTAAAAATACATCAGGAAAATTGGTAAAAAAAAGTTTACATTGTACAATATAATTGATACTGCTTTTTAGCAATCATTTTTGTAAGGTCAGGTCTTTGTATTATTTTTTACTTACAAAAATGTATTTTTATTTAAGTATATTCCTGTGAATGGCTCTTGAGAAGAAAATTGATGTATCACATTTATTGTAGGAGGAGGAAAAAAACCCTCTGACTTTCTCAGAAACTGGAAATAATAAGTTATTCCAGGAAGACATTTCTTATATCTTCTCTGACTTTATTTAAATATCTTTGCTCTTGAGCAAATGCTTTGGGTGGGGAGCTTGAAATTTATTTATATATATATATATTAAACGAATAAAACCGAGCACCAAGAGAAGTAAAATATAAAAGTTTAAAAATTTACTGAGCCAAGCTTTCGTCAGAACCCGTCTGACATCATCAGGGCGTTAAAACAGCAGTCTGGGAGAAACCCTTATAAAGTGTATGTGTCAATTGCTTGCATCCGGCTTCTGCTACGCGTCATCGGACCCAGCTGCTCCTGCCGTAATTAATTCTCATATATATATATACATGTATATATTAATAGGCTTCAGTCAGCTTATGCACAGTGCATCAAGGATCTGGAAATAAAGAAAACTCAGATACTTATTCTGGAAAAGCAGCAAGACAATCTACAAAAAGAGCTAAATGAGGTATTTTTTTGAAGAAATATTTCAAAATGTGTCATATTATTTGGGATAATGCAGTTAGGACCAATAACTGCCTCAAACTGAGAAGTATTCCAGTTGGAGATTGTTGGAATGAACATGGTAGCCACATCTGGTGGTTAATAATAATAATAATAATAATAATAATAATAATAATAATAATAATAATAATAATAATAATAATAATAATAATAATAATAATAATAATAATCAGACAAGCACCTGCAACATAACACCCCGGACTTAACAATTGTCGATAAGAAAGACAAAAAAGTCTGGATAGTGGCAGTGCCTGGAGACAGCAGAATAGACGAGAAGATAACAAAATACAAAGACCTACAAATAGAAATAGAAAGACTGTGGCAAAAGCAAGCAAGGGTAGTACCAATAGAAATAGGCGCCTTGGGTGCAATCCCAAAACAACTGGAGCACCACTTGAACACCATTGGCATTGACAAATTCACCATTAGTCAATTGCAAAAAGCGGCCTTACTAGGAACTGCTTCCATCCTGCGACAATATCTGTAATACTATCAAACATCCACATCTGCCTATCCCAGGTCCTTGGGAAGGACTCGATAGGTAGACAAAATGCCAAATCCAGTCTGAACATCTGGCTGACTGTGCGATGATCATAATAATAATAATAATAATAATAATAATAATAATAATAATAGTAGTAGTAGTAGTAGTAGTAGTAGTAGTAGTAGTAGTAGTAGTAGTAGTAAAGTTGGAAGGGACCTTGGAGGTCATCAAGTCCAACCCCCTGCTCAGGCAGGTAACCCTATACCATTTCGGACAAATGGTATTTCTTGATATTTCCTTGATACTGACTTTCAACTAGAGGTTGCGAGGCTAATGAGAGAAACACCTCTCATTAGTCTTGCAACCTCCAATTAAAAGTCAGTATCAAGAAAGATCAACCAAGCGCTTCCTGCAGAAGTGACTTTTGAAATGGGGATTGAAGGAAACAAAAGAGAGGAAGCAGGAAACTTTTGAGAGAAAGGGTTGATGGAGCAAGAAGAGTAAAGTTCAACAGGAGAGTGTGCTGCCTGCATCCAACGGATGGGGCTTTGCTTGTAGGTGCGGACCAGTTGCTGGCATGCTGCAGCCCAGTACTGGTCCACGGACTGGGGGTTGGGGACCCCTGCCCTAAATCATTTCAGAGACTTTTGGTTGCTTCTTTTGTTTTAACGTTCTGAATTTAGGAGAATTTTTAGCATTTCACCAACAGTTGTTAGCAGGGGAAAAAAGTAACCCCACCTTTTTTTTCTAATCTTAGGAGAGAACAGAACAGTAGAACAAATGTCAAAGCTACACCTAACAAGGCAGCTACTAAATGTGCCTTTTCTTCAGAAGTATTTTTAAAAATACCCTGGCCACATTTGCTATGCTTTCTCTTCAATTTACTCCTGAAATTTATTTCTGATTGAATATAGAGTAATGTAATGTTTTGGCTGCCAACTTGTTTATTTTACAAGACAGCCGGCAAATAAATTCAATAAATAAATAAATATGACCTCTGAAAGCCATTTGCTGGGAGACCTGTGGGCTCCCTGATGTAGCTTGGTGGCTCCTGTAAGATGAGACAGCTAGACTGGAGGAGCCAGAGATCCAATCTAGGAGGGCACAGCTTCAGGAGAAATTTGACACAGAAGTATAGGTAATCCTTGTTTACAACAGTTCATTTAGTGACCGTTCGAAGTTACAACGTCATTGAAAAACGTGGCCTATGACCGTTTTTCACAGGACCGTTGCAGCATCCCCAGGGTCATGTGTTCAAAACTGTTGGCAACTGACTGTGGGATGAAAGGTCGGAAAATGGAGCAAAACTCATATAACAACGGTCTCGCTTAGCGATGGAAATGTTGGGCTCAGTTGTGGTCGTAAGCTGAAGATTACCTGTACAGGCTTCCCGAGAGGGGAATACTGTAGCACTTCAGTTTTTTAATAATTACAGCGATACACCATACGTTTTGTGACACTGAGCCAAAGGAACTTCTGACCTAAACCCTTCAAAGCATGTTTTTGTTAGTGCAAACATGTCTTTAAAGAAAGCTTTACAATAGCGTTCCTCAACCTTTCCGGCTTTGCAAATTGGGGCGGGGGGGAGAGGGGATGGTTCCTCTCAAGTGGCAGGCAAGCGCATATGCGTGTGCAGTTCCATTTGCACACTGTCGCACAGCGCTTCTGCTGCCCAGTTCCAAACAGGCCATGCCCCGGCACTGGGCTACAACCCAGGGGTTGGGGACCCCTGCTTTACAACAACCAATACTGGCATTCCATACTCCTGTGGGAATGCAGCATGCGACTTGCAACTGCAAATCCATTGGCTCTGTGGTAGTTGTACTAAAGCAGTGGTTCTCAACCTGTGGGTCGGGACCCCATTTGGGGTCGATCAACCATTTCACGGGGGTCGCCAAACAAGGCTGTTTGCCATTTCTTTTTGTCCGCCATTTTTTTGGTCCGCCATTTTTTTCCCCCTTTTCCGGCGGGTGCCTTACCTCCCTTGGGCTGGGCCAGCTGGTGGTCGGCCTGCTCCATCTCTGCCGCTTGCCAGCTACGCCTCGGCCGGCGCAGGGGGCGGAACCACGCATGCGCGGCGCTCCCGGGCAGGGAAAGTCCTCGACTTATGACCGGTTGGGTAGTCCTCGACTTACGACCGGTTTAGTCCTCGACGTACGACCGGTTGGGGTCGCGGCATTAAAAAGGTTGAGAACCACTGTACTAAAGTAAAGGAGCTAATCATACACAGTGCTGAGAACCTCCCCCTGCTGCTCTTTTTCCAATTATTTCTTATAGTAAAATATCTTTATGTTGGAACCCTGAATCTATTGGTGGCAATGGATAATTCCATCCAAATCGTGTTTTATGCTGAGTATCTGTTCACCTGTGGGGTAGACATTTGGGAGCGACCTAGAAAAACCCATAAAAACGCTCAAGAGTAGCAGCCAAGCTGGCCGTTCTGAATCAAGCCATTTTAAATTTCTGCATGCTATCATTGCATGGTTGATGTTTTTGAACAGACAGTTCCAAAAGTCACTAGTGGGTGAAAAATGATACCATATGAAAAGCTTAACTCTCATTGTTACTTTTCGGGCCCCGTTTGCTGCAGATAAGGGACCGACGTTCTCGGGAAGAGCAATCCCATTGCTCTGAGGTGGAGAGACTGAGGATGGAAAACTCTAGCTTGACAGAGGAGCTTCATCAGAAGGAAATTACTATAGCAACTATCGTGAAAAACGCTGCAGTGCTGGAAAAGCAGGTACAAACAGAGTTAGAGATAAAAGAGAAAATATTAGCAAAACAACAGGTATGCAGCGCAAATAGAACATGGCTGAGGTCATTTGGTCATGGCAGAGATTAACACCTATTGACATCTGAAAAGCTGTTACCTGGCATCCTTAAAACCAAAAACATGTCATGTGCTGATGTAAAGAACAAAAACATACAGGCTGATAAAAATCTGGACTTTATATTATTCCAGAATAAAAGCTTTAATGTTTATTATTTGTCTAGAGTCCTTGTTTTTGCTTTGTTGATTTTGCTGTTTATTATATTATTTTAGTCCAAGTGTTTTTAGCTGCTTTTATTTTTTTCTAGTTTTATATGCCAGCCACAGTCCATTGGAGTTGGGCTGCTAGTAGATTTAAGTAATAATAATAATAATAATAATAATAATAATAATAATAATAATAATAATAATAATAATAATAATAATAATAATAATAATAATAATAATAATAATAGCAATAGGCGTTATTTAAGCTATAAATTATGGCTTATGCAGAACCAGTAGTAGAAAATGAAGAGAAGGATGAGGGGGGACATGATAGCAGTGTTCCAATATCTCAGGGGCTGCCACAAAGAAGAGGGAGTCAAGCTATTCTCCAAAGCGCCTAAAGGCAGGACAAGAAGCAACGGATGGAAACTAATCAAGGAGAGAAGCAACCTAGAACTAAGGAGAAACTTCCTGACAGTGAGAACAATTAACCAGTGGAACAACCTGCCTCCAGATGTGGTGAATGCTCCAACACTGGAAGTTTTTAAGAAGAGACTGGACAGCCATTTGTCCGAAATGGTATAGGGTTTCCTGCCTGAGCAGGGGGTTGGACTAGATGACCTCCAAGGTCCCTTCCAACTTTATTATATCACTACTACTACTACTACTACTACTACTACTACTACTACTACTACTACTACTACTATTATTATTATTATTATTATTATTATTATTATTATTATTATTATTATTATTATAAAAACAAAGACTGCCAGCAAGGACTGCCCCAGAAGACCTAGCACTTACAATGAACTATGGGAATAAGGCATTTGCAAGTATTAAAATAACATCTGTTGAACAGACCAATCAGCTAGCCTACAGTAGAGCAGTGGTGATTACAGAAGACCTGGGTATCAAAATTCGAAAAGCAAAAGCAAAATCATATTCAATCCTAAAGTAAAAGATCAGACTAGAGGCCAAGATTTAAAAAAAAACAAGATCAAATGCAAGTAATTTAAAGAGCACAAAAAAGCAAAAATTGAATGACTGTAAGGATCAAGACAAGCCTAATAAAAAAAAATCATGAAACAAAATAAAGAAACCTTGGAAATCATAAAGCAACAAATCACAGCAGTGTCTGGGAAAATTGAACACTGTAAACCGCAAAGCATCCAAATTGAAGCAAAATCATCCATTTCAATCAGACCAGAGGCGATTCTGCCCAAAGTGTAAATGGCAATAGAAATTCTGAAAATGGAAAGCAAAAAAAAAAAAAGGAAACAATTCTGTTTTGGAAGATCTGTGGGAAGCTCAAAAGTCCTATAATAAAAATGCAGGATGGATAAAAGAATTTGAAGATGAATTTAATAAAAAAAATCAAATGGAATAACTAATAATAATTATCCTGACTACAAACAATAGCATGACAAAGGAGCAACAATGGTACATTGAAAGATCTGGAAGGAAAAAAAATACCCTTTGCTTGCAAGCAAGAATTGGTGGGGCCATAAAATAGAGAATGTAATAGAAAATGAAGAAACTAAAGTTTCTGGGGTTTTAGAATTCAAACCGAAAGAAACCTGCCACATAACAGACTTAACAATTGTCTATAACAGGGCTTTTCAACCAGTGGTACGGGTACCACCTGTAGTACATTGGCACCTGGCAGGTGGTAACCGACCATCCTAGAAAAGTGGTAGCAGGGGAGGGGAATGAGCTGAACTGGTGGCAGCACCGCACAAGCCTGAGCGAGAGACGGCTGGAGCTGCAGGGCTGTCAGGGCTCAGCAGATGCGCCAGGATCAGTGCCACTTTCCAGCTGATTGGCGCTTCTTCGGGGCTATCAGGGCTCAGTGGAAGCGCCAGGATCAGCGCCAGGCTCCAGCTGGTGCTCAGCGCTGATCCTGGTGTTTCTGCTGAGCCCTGAAGAAGCACCAATCAGCTGGAATGTTGCAGCATCTCCAGGGTCTTGTGATTTACATTCAGATGCTTGGCAACTGATTCATATTTATGACAGTCAAAGTGTCCCAGGGTCATGTGAAGTGACCAAAACCTCCTGCAACCACCCAGCAGACGGGGGGGGGGGGGGATAAAAACCAAACACCCCCTCACCCCACCCCCGCTGCCAATCCTCAACAGAAATGCTCACAACAATGAAAACCTCGGACAGGAGGAAGAGTGCCACCGGGTGGGCAGGCAGCTGTGGCTTGGGGGGCACTTTTTTTCAGTGCCATTGTAACTTCAAACAGTCACTAAGCGAACTGTTGTAAGTCGAGGACTACCTGTACTTTATCACTTTTTTCCTTTTTTTTTTCTTTTGGTCATCAAGTTTTTGACACCTTGCTAGGTGACTGGTGGTACTCAGATGTTGTCATATCCTAAAAGTGGTACAATGGGTGAAAAGATTGAAAAGCCCTGGTCTATAAGAAAAAAAGTCTGCATAGTAGACTTGGCAATACCTGGAGACAGTCGACTAGAAGAGAGTAGAATAGAATAGAGCTGGAAGGGACCTTGAAGATCTTTTAGTCCAGCCCCCTGCTCAAGCAGGAGAACTTATACCATTTCAGACAAGTGACTGTCTAGTCTCTTCTTAAAAACCTCCAGTGATGGAGCACCCACAATTTCTGGTGGCAAGCTGTCCCACTGGTTAATTGTCCTCACTGTTAGGAAGTTTCTCCCTATTTCCAGGTTGCTTCTCTCTTTGGTCAGTTTCCAACCATTGTTTCTTGTCTTGCCCTCTGATGCTTTGGAGAATAGTTTGACGCCCTCATCTTCGTGGCAGCCCTTCAAATACTGGAATATTGCTATCACATCACCCCTGTTTCTTCTCTTCTTTAGACTAGTCAAATATAAACTCCTGCAAATAGAAGTAGAACGACTGTGATAAAATATGGGGTGCAAATCCCAAAGCATCTGGGGGCACTAAATGAACACCATTGGCATTGAGAAAATCACCATCAGTCAATACCTTTAACACCATCAAACATCTGCCTCTCCCAGGTCCTTGGGAAAGACTTGATAGGGGGATTAATATGCCACATCCAACTTAAACATCTGGCTGTGCAATCAACCATAATAATAGCTCTTCCGCTGTTTTTGCTTTTGCTGTTTTCTCATTTTTTCCATCGTTTTCCAAACATTCAGCTGGTTTGTTGGTTTGTTTTATATCCTGCTTTTATTATTTTTATAAATAATTCAAGGCAGCACACGTTATACTTGTTCCATTTCTGGAAGAGAGGAATAGCTTTGAACATCATGTTTTTCTTGGGTTTATTTCCAGTAATGGGGAATAAGGGTAGGTTTGCGGGGTTCTGAACAGTAATTTATTTATAAAAATACAAACTGAGCATAAGAAGATGTAGATAGCTTAGTCTAGAGGTGGGACCATCTGGCCCAGATGTTCCATCACATTATCCACACATGTATGCATTTTTTTAATGCTGGGACAGAGAAACCTATGCATAATCCAGCCAAAATGAAGCCTTTTAAAGTCTCACCAATTTTGAAGTGAGAGAGAAAATGTTGTTTTGGTCTCTACTGTTGAAATCGGCAAAATCTAACTTTGGTTTTTTCAAGTCCTCGCTTTGCCTCTTAAAATATTCTGTTGATCATTCTTTTTCATCAGTACCATGGCAGGATTTTGTTTTGGGTTTTTTTTTTTTCAGTAGAACTACTGTATGGCAGGACTTTTTTTAAAGGACTTTTCCCCCTCTCCTTTAAGACTGCTATATTGCATCTTTATATTTATTTCATCATTTATTAACATTGGCTCTATAGAAATTTTGAAAGTACCGTTCTGCGTTTGCCTCTGGTGAATGCATAACTTGAGGTAGCATTTTAATGAAAATATTTACAGCTCTCGCAGCCTTCGAGCTTTTTTTTTGTGCTGCTTTAAGGCCTCGAAGGCAAGTGATTCAAATACGTGGAGTGCCTTTTAAAAAACATGGATACAGCCTTGAATGCAAGGTTCATTGAGGCCGTATAATGTGTTGTTTTTGTGTTCTATAAGCTATTATCTTTCCTACCCATTTGTCTTGCTTGCCGCTTCTAGAGGCAATTCTATTGCTATGATTATTTACAATAAATGCTGTATGATTACAAGATATATATAGATATATATATATACATACTATACCAGAGTTATAAATAAGCATTTTTACCCCCTACCTTCTTCCCACAGACAATGGATTTATCAAAGAAAGAGCACAAAACCTGTTTGGATCCTGCTGATATGCTGGAGTGTAAGAATGGAAGGTTACACAAAGAACTCCTTAAATTGCCGAGAGACACAGACATGCCTTCTTTGGTGAATGCCATTGCATACTTTGGAACAAACCACGCCAAGCCGGCCTCCCTTAAAACGCAGGCAAAGGAAGAGAAGTAGGTACAGGACCCCGTGCACAAATAATTCTACCTTAGCCCTTAACATTTTTTTCCCTTTATTTTGTTTTTTTTTTCTTTTGTCCTCATTGGAAATGAAAGAGATGGGTGTTGCAGTCACATCAGAGTTGCCTTGTTGAAGACAACTGCGTGTTCATTCTTAGTTCAGCTTTTGACACTAACTATCTTCAGTATATAACTGTGGTGGCGAACCTATGGCACGTGTGCCAGAGGCGGCACGCAGAGCCCTCTCTGTGGGCACGTGCGCCATCGTCCCAGTCCTAGGCCTTCAGCTGGGTTTTTTATAAAACCTTTTCGTTTTAGGCCTCTGTCACCGTGTGCAAAAAAAAAAAAAAGGTTCAATCAATCAATCAATCAATCAATTTCAACTTCTCGCGGGGAAAAAAAAGATCTCGCAAAGTTGGAATTGATTGATTGAACTTTTTAGTCCCACCCAGTCTGTCACCACTGCAGCCACGCCAACCCAATGGGCCACACCCACCCAATGGGCCACACCCACCCAATGAGCCACACCCACCTGGCACCCGACAATGCATAAGTGGGTTTTGGGTTGAAGTTTGGGCACTCAGTCTCTAAAAGGTTCGCCATCACTGCCTTAGAAGGAGGAAGAGCGCCGCCGGGCACTGTCTTGCTCGGCTGTGGCTTGGGGGGGCACTTTTTTCAGTGCCATTGTAACTTTGAACAGTCACTAAGCAAACTGTTGTAAGTCGAGGACTATCTATACTTTATCACTTTTTTCCTTTTTTTTTTTTTTGGTCATCAAGTTTTTGACACCTTGCTGGGCGACTGGTGGTACTCGGATGTCGCCATATCCTAAAAGAGGTACAATGGGTGAAAAGGTTGAAAAGCCCTGCCTTAAGCATCAGCCCCTTCACACATGCACACGTCAAAGGAACTAATCTAAAAGCAGGGATTGATTTGTTTGTTTCTGACGAAAAGAGCGGGAGAATTAATGAGCCTACAAGGAGGGTGAGAGGTGTTGAATAGGAGGGACTGAAAGAAATGAGAGGGAAGGTAAGATGACAGCTGGGATGGAAAATGCGAAGCCCGTATAAAAAAAAAAGTATCAGGCGGCAGATTAATCTCCCGCCCGAACAAATGGAAATGGCCACGAGGAAAGAGAATGCAGAAGCTGCTCGGAGCAAAATGAAAAGAATTGTGTTACAGAAGAACGTGGAGTTATGCTAATGGGAAATATGAAAAAGGATGCTTGGAAGAACAATGAAGTGAAAGAAGATGCAGATGAAGGGGGAAAAATGCCCCTAAGAAAATGATTGCGGCACAAAATGAGGGTGAAAGAGAGATACTGTATAATGTGCATAAGAGGAAAAAAATGGCAACGGATGCCATGAAAAAGGCCGAGGAATAGTTACTTGCTGCTCCTCTGATTCACGTGAAGAGAACAGGGAGGAGGTAGCAGTGGGGACCAATTAGGCCACTTAAAACCCATCTTCCTCCAGTCAAGCCCTGCTACCAACCTGCTTATTTATCCTCTTCAGCTACGCCTTGAGAGCCACTACAGCTGGCATAGTACAGCAGCCATGAGTTGGGGAGGGGGGGAAAGGAAGCACCTCTGTTAGTACAATGTTCAGAAAAAAGAAGCTTTTCTATTAAACCAGGAACGAGCTGCTGTCAGACACACAGAAACAATATTCACCGCCGGATTCCCAGCCCCCTGCAAGTGTGTGGGTGATGGTGAGATGACTAATCTTCCAGGTGATTTTATAGCTACTGCAAGCATCCAGATCTCCTTCTAAAGTGGATGTAACCATGCCATCAGAAATCGTGGGCGTTCCATCACTGGAGGTTTTTAAGAAGACATTGGACAGTCACTTGTCTGAGATGGCATAGGTCAGTGGTGGCGAACCTATCGCGTGCGTGCCAGAGGCGGCACTCAGAGCCCTCTCTGTGGGCACGCGTGCTGTTGCCCCAGCAGAGTTCGCCAGAGTAGCGAGCACGTGGCGTTTGGAAGCGACAGGGCAGAAAGTGAGAGAGAGAGCGGCGTTGGCCCCCCGGGGATGCTCCGGAGATGGCGAGGGACTGGCCCCGGCCACGCTCACCCAGTGAGCCGTGACCACTGCAACCACGCCCACCCAGTGGGCCATGCCCCCCACCCTCCCTGAGGGCACCACAATGCTGATGCAGCCCTGGCACTTTGCAATAAATAAGTGGGTTTTGGATTGCAGTTTGGGCACTCAGTCTCTAAAAGGTTTGCCATCACTGGCATAGGTTCTCCTGCTTGAGCGGTGGGCTGGGCTAGAAGACCTCCAAGGTCCCTTCCAGCTTCTATTCACATTCATGTTGGTTCCTGCAGAAAAGTGAAGAATTAAGAAAAGTGTGGTGGAGGCAGAACAAGCAGCTGCTGTTGTACCTGAAGTCTAGATCAGAGGTCCCCAACCCCCGGTCCATGGACTGGTACTAGGCCGCGGCATGCCAGCAACCGGTCCGCACAAACAAGCAAAGTCCCATCCGCGAGATGCAGGCAGCACACAAAACCACGTCCGCTCCAGTCTGCAGAAAAACCTCTCCATGGAACTGGTCCCTGGTGCCCAAAAGGTTGGGGACCTCTGGTCTAGATGGATTTTAGATTCATTTGAGTACAGGTAGTCCTCAACTTACAAACAGTTCACTTAGTGACCGTTCAAAGCTTTTTCCAAAAGGCAACTGGACTTTCTTGCTGTTGTTTTTTTCCTCTTTGAAAATATTTCACTTCTCATCCATGAAGCTTTTTCAGTTGTAACTGACTGTTGGGGAATAGAAGGATTTATGTTCTTTACAGCAGGGATCTTCAAACCTGGCCCTTTTACAACTTGTGGACTTCAACTCCCAGAATTCCTCAGCCAGGCATGCTGGCTGAGGAATTCTGGGAGTTAAGGTCCACAAGTCATAAAAGGGCCAAGTTTGAAGACCCCTGCTTTACAGTCATCTGGTCATTAGCATACTCCCTCCCCCCTGTTGAGGGAGGCTGTCTAAGCATCTGAGAAGAATCACTGCCCAAAACATCTACACACACAACTACTTGTGGGTGGGGGACTTCATAATGTACAATGGTATTTGAGAATGACCTTGGGAGGCAGGAAAGAAAGCTGCAGTTTGGACAACTGGCTTGTAAAAGATGTCTCCGCTCACAGAAGTGAGGATGGAGTGAGAAACATGCCCTGGTTCTCCAGAGAGTAAAAGGAAAGGAGGGGAGAAATACATTCAGTCTTGCAAGATTCTGTCAATGTAATCTTGCAATAAAGATGGAACTAATACTCCTGGTTGTGCTCCTTATCTGGACTCCCTCGCAGGGCTAACAAAATGAGATCATACCATTAATGGCGACAAAAGTCCAACAGAAAGTTGTAACAGTAGATTTGCTATTCTGGACAGCACACCTGAGATCAGCCATATAGAACAAATGGCTTTTTGTAGCAAGCGAATAAAAATGTCCTTGCAGTGGTGATTGCCAGACTGCATTTCCTGGAATATATTGACACTGACGATCTTAGAACAACTGATATGACAAATAACACTTCTCAGAAAGCTAGAAGACATGAGAATTGCAATAGTTAAAGACTTAGGGCTATGTTAATGATATCACCAGTAAAAGGGAAGAATAGAATAAAGCAGACACAGTCCAAGTGTGTCTTTTCTTCTGTTCTTCTCTTGCAGACTGCCTGACTATCCCAGCCAGGCGTTCTGGGTCCCCTGAGTCACTAACAGATTGATTAAATAAAAGGTGAAGTCAACCCCAAGTTGAAGCTGTTGACTTCAAGGAACTGTTCATCTAGTTTTCTTCTCAACCATGTAGAAGTGATTGGTAGCTGCTCTTCTGGGATGGCTTTCTTAATTTCCCAGCCAGTCTGTCTCACTTCCTCATGGTCTCCTACCCAAATTCCATCCAGGCCTGACCCAGTTGTGGGTCTAGAGCCCAAACAAGGTCAGCTAAGGATGCCCACCTGCTGAGACACTTAATAGGGCAGTGAAGATTAAAGGAAAAGGCAACAGAATTTACCTGGATTGCCTGGATGATTTTAATTAGGCTTCATTATATTCTCTCTCTCTCTCTCTCTCTCTCTCTCTCTCTCTCTCTCTCTCTCTCTCTCTCTCTCTCTCTCAATCTCTCTCTTTCTCTGTGTGTGTGTGTGTGTGTACGTATATATAACCACGATGGCTCTATGGTGAAGGATATCGAGTTTGAGACCCAAGAACCACACGACAGGGTGAGCTCCTGTCCTTGCCCCAGCTCCTGCTCACCTAGCAGTTAGAAAGCATGCAAGTGCGATTAGATAAATAGGTACCACTTTGGTGGGAAGGTAACAACATTCTGTGCACCTCCCTGTTTAGTCATGCTGGCCACATGACCAGAGGACAATGCTGGCTCCCTTGGCTAAGAAACAGAGATGAGCACCGTCCCCTAGTGTCAGACATGACTGGTCAGAGGAAATATTTATTTTTACCTATTATTTGGTAATCTGTTTCTCTTTACACACACACACACACACAGCTCAGTAGAAAACTATTTTTATTTTTAAGAGTAGGGTTCTTTGGGAGTGATTTCCAGCTTTAAAGGAATTGGGAAATTTGGAGGTGGGGAAGTGTTATAAGAGGTGGGTCCCACTTTTGTAGACATCGTTTGCTCAGTTTTAGATACCGTGTTTGAAAAACGAGGTTGTGATTTAGAGATACAATTCGGGCCAGCCCGCACCGGCTTTTTAGGAAACGTGTGCTGGATTTGAAGAAGGCTACGCCAGCTTTTAATGCTTTTTAAGAGGACCGGAGAGCAAAACAGCTCGACATAATTGGGCTCAATCGATGGCAACTGTTTGACAGCACACAGTGACAAGAGCCCCAGTCAGCACTGGACCCGTTTGATCTTTCAAACCTCTTTTCATCTCTGCTGTTTTGCTGGTAGCAGAGTTTTGGAAATGAACCTGGCCCTGCTTGCTCCTTTCTAATGACACTTTAGGTCACTGTAGTTTATTAGAGGTTCTCTC